GGTTGCAGAGCCCCCTACAGCAGAAACACCCTGGTTTTCTGGTGGTGTATGATGGGTGAGGGACAGTGCTGGTCCCTATGCAGAGAAGGTGAAATGGTATCACCCACAACCCAAGAAGGGGGGCTTGTTGCTGCTGCCCTGTACCCCAGGGTAGGGATTAGCCCTGGAGGGATCTGGAAAGTCAGACTTTAGTTATTGAAAGGATAACCCTGGGTACCATAGCAATGATGGTGTCCAGGGTGGCTCCCCACAGTAGACCCTTTTTCCTGTTATGGCCCAGGCTATAGTCTGCTGGGTGGAGCATGTAAGTGAACCTGGACATTGTCAAGCAGAGTCTGTGATCTGGGGCCTCTGGCCTAGCCCTCTGCTCACCTGCACATGAACTCCAGGTGTTTCTGTGTAAGTTGCTCCCTTTAACAAATGAAAAAGCACATTATGTGCCGGTCTGGGTCACACACAGGTTCTCCTGCAAGCCCTTCGGCTGCTTCTCCCACAGCAAAGGCCAGAAACCCCCAGGCCCCTCAGGATGTGCCGACTCCCCTCAGCCCCTCCTCTCTCTGTGCACCTGCTGCCCAGCTGTTGGGCACTCTACCTTGCCAGGCACTGCCCACCATGGCATTTGCACAGAGCTGTCCCCTGCCAGAGGCACAATGTTTTCAGCTCTGCTCATCCTCCCATCCAGTCCTGAGAAAGCCCAGGGAGGTGTCCTGGCCATCAGGTGTGTGTGGGGGGCAGGGAGATGCTCCCTGACACTGCTCTCCAGGGAGGCCTTGTGCTGGTGCCACAGCAGATAGCGCTGGGCTGGAATGAATTGCAGAAGTTCGCTTCACCAGCACGATGAAGCCAAAAACAGAGTGTAAGATGAAAATATGAGAAGTTCTTTATTTTAAAGCAGAAAATTTGCATCATTGGAAAGGAGGTTGATTTGCCTATTTGGTTAGGCATCATCCTGGCTTTGAAGGTAAGGGCCCTGTGGTGGGTCTGGCGGTGGAAGGGACTTGTCTCCTTCTGTTCGGACCCAGTTGCGCTGGCTTTATCTGGAAGATCCTCTACCACTCCCTGGTACAGGGGCCTGGGCAGCTGGTACCCAGCACTGGTCCATCAAAGTAAGGAGGCTGAATCTGGAATGGCGCCACTGGCCCCCTGGGTAACCAGAGGGGAGGACATTCTCATGTGTCAGTCACTATCATAAAAGTGCCTGAGCCACAGGGAGTAGGACGCTTCTTGGCCAGTCAGAGCTTTGGAGCTGTCAGCCACAGCAGCTGCTGCCCCTCACTCCTGGGTACTGCTGCCTGCAGGTTGCGGCCTGGGCTGTGCATCTGTCTGCTGTCAGGCACGCAGCAGGAAAGCTGGCGTCTGCGCGTGCAACACGCGGGTGCTTAGGCATTAGACCTGCCTGCCTCGTCTGCCTTGTACGCAGCCAGACTGTCTTTCCAGTGGTCCCTGTGACCTGGGAATGTTCACCAGGATGCCAGGAGCTTCACTCCCATTCTCTGAAGACCTCTCTGTTTGATGCCTCTGGGCCCCATCCCTGGTGACAAGAATCTAATCTGTCGAGGAAGAGAAGAGGGCATCCTTTGTCACGTCAGTGGGGATTTGTCTCCCGGCAGTGCCAGGTGGGCTGCCGGGTGGTGTTGCAGTGCTGGGAGGTGCGTCTGCCAACAGCTAGGTGGACACTGATGTAGGAGTGGAAGAGGAAGAGGAGGGGGGAAGATCACCAGGGAGTGAGAGAAGGAAGGGCTCAGAGACTGAGCGACTCATGTCACTGATGGAATTACCGACCCAGCCATCCGTCAGTGAGGGCAAGGCCCAGCAGCTGCACAGATAGCTCCCTCTGCACAGGCTCACATTCACCATCCGCTCTGTGGTCATGTTTGACCTATGGAGCTCTCTGGCCTCGCCTGCCTCCCACACTGCTCTGCAACCTCAGGCTGGTTGTTTTCTCTGTGGGTCATGAGCAAAGGCTCCATGAGGAACCAGGCTTGCTGCCGTTCCCCTCGCTGTGCTGCAAACCTGAGGGATTCCTTGTCACTTAGAGACCTGGGTTCCTGGTCATGCCCAAGTTGCGCTCCTGCAGACACAGGGCGACTTGCAGTTGGCTCTGAGGTCACTGCCCACCTCTCTACCGCCAACTCCAAGAACCCCTCCTCCCTCTGCTCTGGCTGTGACATACTGTGTCCCCTGTTTGGTAGTGATCAGTGTATCTGTGCTCATCCCTGTGCTTCTGGGCACAGTGGCACATCACCTAGCACAGGTGGCTGCATGAGGGAGGTGCTGCGTGAGTGCTAGTCATAGGAGGCTCTCCAAGGGGAGGGGTAGGTTGCTGATGGGTAGGGTGACTGACGGGCTGGCCGGAAGACCCATTGGTTGACTAAGAGATCTTCAGGGGAGCAATGGAGTGGGGGGCCTTCCAAACATGAGTGCTAAGATGGATGCTGGGAACTCATCTCTCCTCACTTGCTTTCCCCTCATCCTTGGGGAATAAGCAGAAACAAGTCTGAATTAGAGATGTGCTGTCTGCCTGCCTGTTTTCCTCTCCTCTCTTCCTTGCATCCATCAACTCTCCAACCACCCAGATGGTAGCTGCCTCCTCCTCCCTTCCTTTCTCCCCTTCCACCTATCCACCCTTCCATCTAGTATTCATTGAGCATCTCTCTGGACCAGGCCCACTGCTACATCCCCAGAGCCAATCAGAACCATGAGGCTTTTAGGCTCCAAAGCTTCATGTTTCCTGATGCCCTTTGTCTCCCCTTGGTGGGGTCTGAAGTGTTGGGGGACAGGAAGCCCAATGGGTGGGGTGGGGCAGAGTGCCTGACTGAGCAGCCCCCCACGCCATTTGTTTGCCTTATCTTAGTTAACAAAAGTTCACAAACGTCTCTAGGGAGAAAGACACAGGTGTGAACAGTTTGAGAGGGAAACCCCCTAGAAGGAAAGTCGTTCATGCTGACAGGGCCAGAAACAGGTGTGAGAAGGAAATTGTTGAAACCCACCTGACTTCTCCAGAGAACTTCCAGAATGCTCCTTCTCTCAGTACTTCAGACATGACACACGTGCGCGCATGCACGCAGACACACACACACACACACACACACACACCCTGAGCTTTCTCCCATTGCTGGTTGATGGAAACCACTGTTCCTGCCCCATGGGGCCATTAGCTGCGTAGGATGCAGTTTTGATCCCAGGAAGCAGGGAAGGGGCCATGAGGAACATGGAACATGAAGCTGCTGCTGCTGCAGCCACAGCGCACTCAGGCTGCACTTCTGGAACTGCCTGACCAGGTGCAGGTGTGCTGGGCTGGAGGTCTCACTGCTGCAGTCCCTACCAGATCCAGGATGGTTGCAATGAGTGATCAAGGGACAGAGGTGACAGGGAAGAGCCATTTCATTCCACAGGAAACTTGAACTTGGTTTCCAGGTTCCACCTGGGATTTCTGCTCACAGAGTCTTGGCTGGGATGGCCCTTGAGTCCCTGGCCCCTATTGGTACCCACTTTGAGGGGTTGTGAGACTGTGCTGACTGTGCCTGATGGGTGAGAATGAAGGGCAGCTGAGCCCTCCCACTGCATGTTTTAAGAGGAGCTAAAGCATGTTTCTGGAAAGTATTTGCTGTTGGGATGGAGAGTCCCTCCCCCCGCCCCCAGTGCCAGCCCCACAGGGCCTCCGGATAGCACAGAGAGGAGGCATGCCCCAGTGGCCTGTATACTGGATGAGAAAGTCAGGGACTAGGATGGGGTTTTCTGAAACAGACCCTGGGCTGAGTCCCTGCACTCCATCACTATCTAACCGACCGTGGGAATGGTCACCTCGGTGCCTGGCCACTGTAGCGCTCTGTTATTTTTGTCTGCCACTGTTTAGTCTGCATCACTGTTTAGGGCAGTGCCAGACTCTCTGCACAGTTTTGCCACATAGTGTTGCCAACCTGAGCTCAGAGGGTGACCTCAGTCCAGTGGGACTGCCCGCCAGGCAGATAGCCGCAATCGATTTCAGTTTCCAGTAAAAAGTGCATTCTCATTTGCGAAATCTTAAAATGGCTTATGTTGGGCAGCAGCTGAAGGGCTTGGGTCAACATTAAAATGGAACCAAGTTTGTTTATTTACTGTTAGTGTCACTTAGGGTGACGTGGGTGACATGCATAAGTTGTGAGCATGCAGCACATGAATGTCTGCCCATCCCTCTTACCAAGAAATAAAGCACTACCATGTCCCAGAAAATCCTGGGCCCCTCCTGCCACAAGCTGGCCTAGAGGGACCTTCTCAGCCAGTCAGTAACCAGGCTTAATCAGACCTGAGGGGGCAGAGCCATGTGGGACCCTGAGTCCCAGGTGCTTCCTGAAGAAGACTGTCCAGTGGGACCACAGCATTCATTAGAATAGTGGCTGGTGCCCCATTTATGGAGGCGGGGGTACAAAGGCTTTCTAAAGGTGCTTTTTGCTCTCCCAGGTCCCTGTCTCATACTGTATTTACCCATCTCCAGATGGCTTTAGAGGATGACTCTCTAGGCCTGTCCCCAAGTGGTGCCTCCACCTCAGAAACAAAAGCGTGTTCTCTGGCCTGTGAGCAGGCAGCAGCCTGAGGCCCGAGTGGGCCTTCAGAGTTGGGAGCTATCTGACCATCAGGATCTACTTGAGATGGCCACTTGGTTTCTCCCTGCCGTCCCCAACACCAAACACAGAGTGTGGCTGCTTCAGTAGCAGGAGCCTCACCACTTGTTGTCCAATCATGGTAAAGCAAACCTGCCTCCTCCCAGCTCCCTCTGCCTGCCTGCTTCTCCCCCCTGGGGAAGGAGGACCTGTCTCTTGACTTAAAGGCCACTTCAGTTGCTCTGCCTGCCAGGATTGCTCGACGTGGCTGCTTTGGCATTCCCATGGTTTCCTTCTGGCCTGGTCTTTTCTGGCCTCAGCGTGTCTCAGACTGTGGGCCCAGTGCCTAGGTGCATCTAGGAGGCCATTGGGGCTCTCACAAGTTAGTCCTTACCTTGTGTATTGTCTGCAATTCTCCAGCTCCAAGAAGTCCAAGAAAGGCCCCCAGGTGACGGTGAAGCCCAAGCCCTCACCCCGGCTCACCATCTTTGACGAGGAGGTGGACCCTGATGAGGAACTCTTTGGCCCAAGCAGGAAACTGTCCCCTCAGAGCCCCTTGAAGAACACACCCCAGGACTGTAAGTAAAACCCTAGCATGAGTTCCCTTTGCTCTCGGTATCTGCTTGATGGCTGACCTCTATCCCAAATATCCTTTGTGAGTGGGATGTAAGTCTCTCTTTTATCCTGTTCCAACGGAATACAGGATCAGCTCATGGAGATTTTCTGCTTGAGAAATCCACCCTCATACCTGGTGTCCCTACAATCCAGAACACTTTTGGGCTGTACATTATTCTAAACATTCTACAGAGGAAGAGGACAATGATAGGTTTCTTTGTTGCTTGGAGAAAAAGTGCCTTCATTGTCTCTGCAGACAGATGTGGGCACTGGACCTCTAGGCACCCTTAGGATGGAAGGTGGTTGCTGGCCCGCCCACCTTGGACGTGTGTGCAACGCTGTATGATTTTATTTTTTTTATTTTTTATTTTTAAGAGAGAGAGAGAGAGAAAGAATTTTTTTAATATTTATTTTTCAGTTTTCGGCAGACACAACGTCTTTGTATGTGGTGCTGAGGATCGAACCCAGGCTGCACACATGCCAGGCGAGCGCACTACTGCTAGAGCCACATCCCCAGCCCATGATTTTAATTTTAACATTTTGTGTCACCTGCATAGACCCCACTAGAAGGGTCGATGCAGAACTGGCAGCCTAGGGACTTTGCCTGTCCCTGTCTGACCTTTCCTTCTGATTCCCCAAATTCTCCTCCAGGGTGAGAGAGTGGATGTCACCCATTGATTCAGACAGTACTTGGTGAGCACCCTCTGATGTCCAAACCCCAAACACACTGAGGAATAAGACTGGTCCCCACATTCTCCGGGTCCCACAGGGAGACAGCACATTACCTGACTATTGCAGAGTAGCATGAGCCTGTACCAGGGCTGAGCAGAAACACTGGTTCCCGTGGAACAGCAGGCAAGACTTCCTGGGTGTGACCAGTGTGACCAGCCTGGCCTGTAGCCAGGCTGGGTCCTGAATGTCGGCTGGAGTTAGCCAGACTGCCAAGGAAAGGCATTCCAAGTAGAAGCCACGGTTGACACTCCCGAAGGGCAGCCAAGAGCAGCCCAGATGGGGAAGCAGGCTTCCTGCAGACAGGGACTTCAGCAGGACAGTGACTTTCAGGGACCCCATGGCAGCAAGCGCCCCTGGCTGGCAGTGCCACTCAGTCCTAGCTCATTGGAAGACACTGTGACTGTGGGGTGAGCCGAGGGGTCCAGCTGTATTGGACCTGGGACCGTGACTGGTGAGTCAAGAGGAAGTTTCACCTGGAGCAGCGGGAAGCCAGTCAGGACTAGAAACTGGAGTGGGGCAGAGACAGATGGGTGTCCTAGGCCCACAGGGGCTGCTGTCCTCACCCTTTTGCGTGCACCTGCTCCCTTTTCTCTAGCTTTCTTGCTCACTCACCTGGGTGGCTAGGAGGCTGGAGCAGTGTCTCTACTCTGTCCCCAGCAGCTAAAGATGAGCCAGAGCTGCTCTGACCACTCTGCTGCTGCCTTCCCACAGCCCTGAAGCTGTTTGATGACCCTGACCTTGGTGGGGCCGTCCCCCTGGGTGACCCCTTACTGCTGCCAGCCGCCTGTGAAAATGGAGGGCCCACATCAGGCCGGGGCCTCAGATCTGCATCTGAAGAGCTGTTCAGGTACCATTGTCCCAGGGGTTTTTCTGAGCTCTGAGCCAGCGACCCCTCCCAGGATGGGAAAGTTCACCAGCCTTGGCCTCCAAGGGGAGGGATCCTGGCCTATTCAAGGCCTTCGGGCTGGGAATAACCAAGAGGCAGGGATGGGATTTGCATCCAGGGCAGCTCAGCTGGTGAGGGAACTTCAGTGTTCAGCCAGTCAGTTTCCTTTCACACATACATTCCATTATGTGTAAAGAATGATAATTAAATTACATAACTCAAGAGCAAGTGTAACTGGCATAGATGGGTTTGGGAACAAATAAAATTAATACTTCCTAGCATGTGTCTCTCCCAGAGGGAGAAGAGCTCAGATATACCTACAATGGCCCATCCCCTGGGAGGGTCCCATCGGAGGGATGATGGCTGCTGTTTCCTGAGCACTTGTTGTGTGTCCGGCAGTGTAGGAGACTCTACGACTTATTTAATCTTCACAACAGCCCCCAAAGCAGCTACTGTTCTTTGCATTTTACACAAAATCAAGCATGGGAGAGGTCACTTGTCTGAAGCTACAGCTTCTGCCTGCCTCTGTCCTGGCCTGCACTCCATCCGGAACTCTAAGCACTTGGAGGCTGGGTGCTCACCTCCCTGCAGGAGCTGTGGGTTCTCCCTGGGCCTCTGCAGCCATGTTCTCAGCATGCTCAGACTTGAGCAAGTGTCCTCATCTGCACCCCAGGATATAGGGTGTGCTTGGCCATTTACAGGAAGCTGAGATGCCTCTTTCTAGGAACAGTTTATGTGGCACCGAGGCATGTAGTCCCAGGAGGCTGTCATCTGCACCCCTTGTTAGGAGCCCCAGGCTATTAGATAGCCCTCTAAGTGCCCACCAAGCCTGAGTCACTGCGATGGCGTCTTGTGTTTACATTTCCCCAAGGCCCCTGACATCTGTTCACTTTCATCCTGTGTCCTCGCTTCTAACATTCCAGCAGGGTGAAAGGAACCAGGATAACTGTTATTTCATCAGGGAGGAAACTGAGGCAGCAGGGAAGCCAATACTGGATCATCCTAGGGAGCAGCAGGGCCCGGCTGAATATATTGCAGAGGAGCAGTTCTTGTGGGACCTCTCCAGTGTAGTTTATTCTGAATCCATTATTAGCCAGGTATGGTGGCACATACCTGTAATCCCAGTAGTTCAGGAGGCTGAGACAGGAGGATTATGAATTCAAAGCTAACCTTAGCAAAAAGTGAGGTGCTAAGCAACTCAGCAAGACCCTGTCTCTAAATAAAATACAAAATGGGGCTGGGGATGTGGCTCAGTGATTGAGTGCCCCTGAGTTTAATCCCCTGTACCTAAATAAATAATAAATAAATCCATATTTACCAGTCTAATTTTGGCAAAGCATGGTAGAGTGGAGTGTTATTAGGCTACCTTCAGAGGGTTCTGTGGCCACGTGATTTGGGGAAATGTCAATGCTAGGCAGGACTCCTGCAGGCCTGTCATCTGGGCAGACATGTCATGTTTCTCATTGGTCCCTGGGACCCTCCCTTCATGTCTCTTAGCAGCCTGCAGAGCACCTTGGGAATCCCTGCTCACCGCATGTGAGCCCTGCGTCCTCCCTTCACTCTAACAACATCTGGTAATGAAGAATTCGCTTCTTGAGAGCAAGAGCCATATTTCTTTCATTCTTCTTGTGTCTGCTGTGTTCCTACTCAGGCGTAATTAGACTTTCTTATAGAACAAAGCTCTCCAGCAGCCATTCCCTCCCCACTTCATCCCTTCATTGATGCTCTCACCCCTCCATTCATTTTGTCAGCAGCCTGAGCTTCAGCCATCCCCAGGCAGCACAGGGTGGGACACGAGCAGGGTTTGGCACTGAGGAGTCTATGTTCCTCCGGTTCTGCAGACACGTCAGGGCTGGCCTCTGGTTTTGATCTTTAGCCAAGTTCTGTCCTCTTCAGGGACTTCAGGACTTCCTCACCCCACACTAAAAGACCCCACCAAAGCTGGGTCTGGAAGAGAGTGGGACTGAACCTCGTGTTAGTGAGACCTGTTCCTAAGTGTGTCTCGGGGAGCCCCCATGGAAATAGGGTGCTTGGAAAGAGGGAGCCTAAGCAGCCACTTGTATCCCAAGAATGACTACAGTACCTTTGTATGGCCTCCCACTCACAGCCTCCCACCGCAGAGCAAATCCAGCTTCAGACTAGTTCTATAGCAGCTGCTTCCCCTGAAATGTGACATGGGCTTTTAACTGCTGCTTCGTTTTCCTAAAGACCCCTGTTTTAATATAATTCAGTCACTCTCAGCTTTTGCTGGTTACCCTTGGCCTCCACTGGAGAATGTAAAGGGAACCAGTGGCTGATGCTGGGGAGCCAAGGAGGGGCTTTGGCTTGGAGGGAGCTGGGGCACAACTGAGCTAAACTTCCAGAAGCAGCCAGACCGTGACACCTCCCAAAATCTCCCTGAACCCTGTGCAGCTGCTCTCTATAGAGAGGCATTAGTGGGTCCATCTGGGTTTGGACCAGAAGGATACTTTTTGTTCATCTGGGGCAAGCTCAGAATTACCTCCCAGAGGTCTCTGCCCATTGCAGGAGTTCTCCCCCAGAAGCTCTGTGGATGGCAGGTTCCTGGCCAGCAGCCCCTCTGGGGATGCTGTGCCAGCCACCTCCACCCTCACACAGGCTCTGCCAGGCCATGCAGTGCCAGAGAGTTCTGATCAAGGCACCTCTGCTCTGCTCCTGCCCCTACCCAACCCAGCTGGTGTCTGAGCAGATGATACTCTTGGTTCTATGGTTGGGATATGCTGCTCAGGGCAAGAAACCTCCGCTGTCGGCTGTCGGCTTCTGCCAATTCGTTCCCACCTCCAGACCTTTGCTCTCTGCTACGCCCTTCTCCAGGATTCCCCTCCCTAACTCCCCTCATGCTGGGCCTGCCCTGCTCCCTTTCCTGGGAAGCTTTCCTCACCTGCTCTGGCCACGCACTTCCCAGCCTTCAGTGACATCAGGATGTTTGCAATTGGTGAATCCTGTTGGACTGGCTTTCAGGGTGCCCTGTGGAAGGAACCTAGGCATTGCTCCTTTGTGCTTTGTGCTTGCTCTCTTCAGTGCCCAGTGAATGTCGACTGGCACCTGCAGTATTTTTTAAGATTTATAAAGCACTTTCCATCTGGATTTTGTTTGATCCTTACACAAATCCTGGTGAGGCTGGCAGAGTGAGAGCATTCCTACTTTACAGATGGGGCCACCAAAGACCAGGAAGGTAGAGTGGCCTGAGGCTACCAGCCAAAGGCGCCACAGGACAAGGAATAGCGGCTGCTGCAGAGCCAGCACCCCTGTGCATAGTGCTGGCAACCCTGCTGGGCGGTGCTGCTGATCCAGTTTTATAGATAGAGAGCCAAAGCTTGGAGAGGCCAGTTTCACCTGCACCCCAGGTCCTTTTTCTTCCGTGCCTATGTCCCCCTCACCCAAGCCAACATGGTCGAAGATGCTTGTGGAGATAACTGTCGGGCACAGGAGCAGCTTCTTTCTGAGGCTGGAGAAGGGGCATCCATGTAGAGGTGCCCCCGGAAGGTGAATGCCCCCAAGAGAGCCAGCCATATGTGGGCCAAGTGTTCTCTGTCCTCAGGATAGCTGTGCAGACCAAGGCAGGGCCCTGTACTTCTCTGCACCTACGTTTTCATGTCTATAAAATAGGGCCAATATCTGCCACCAGACACTGTTTTGACATTATTAAACAATTGAATACATGTGGAATTGCCTGGCCATAACAGGCACCCAGCATGGTGCTAGGTGGGTGGCAGGTCGAGTGAGTCCTCCAGTGTATATCTGGCCTCTGGGAATCGAGTTCCTTTCCCAAGAGCCCGCAGCAGGAGCCTGCACCAGGCCCAGAGCAGAGGTGGGCAATGGCCTTTTTCCCTGCCATTCATACCTGAAGATGCTCCTCCATGACTGTCACTTTACCGTGGACAGTCAGAGGTGTGAGCCATGAGTGAGTCTTGGTGGGCCCTCACTGGGCCTGTTCAGCACCTGTGTGGCCCACAGAGAGGCAGGCAGACCCCACATCACCACAGCTTCAGGCCCCTCAGTTTATTCTTTCTCTGGGTGAACTTGGTTTGGCTGCAAGCTGGTCTCTAAGGTCTTGTTTGATCCTTACACAAATCCTGGTGAGGATATACATCCTCTTAGCTGGGCCTTCAGCCCCCTGGGTTCTAGCTTCCCCTCTACAAGGTGGACACATGGGTGCACCTCCCTGGGGTGGTGTTTTGAGGACAAAAGGGATGATGTGTCTGAAGTGCTGGTCCCAGAGCAGGGCTTGCCAGTGGACGGTTATTTCTAAAGGATTGGAGGGAAAGTCCCCTAAATAGGCCAGCAGGCTTAGAGAGAGGTCACCTGAAGAGCATTCTCTGGAGGTGTCTGGGGGACTGGCTCTGCTCCCTGTGCTATGAGGTGGAGGGAAGAGCACTGCCCTTTGGCTTCTCCCTGGGGTTGGGTGGAATGGGGAGCCAGGCCTGTCATGGGCTGGTTGGGCAGCTGCCCAGTGCCCTTGTGTAGAGAGGTGCTGCCTGGGGGTCTTGCCGCCTTCACAGGGGGTCGTTATGCTCAGGGCTGCTCCTTTGGTTCCCTAGAGTTGAAGAGGATTTGGACCAGATTCTGAAGCTGGGGGATGAGCCCAAACCCCAGCCCCAGCTTAAGCCCAAGCCACCAGTGGCAGCAAAGCCGTCATTGCCCAGCAAGCCACCTGTGCCCCCCAGAGCAGGTGCAACTGAGAGCATGGCGGGGCAGCAGAAGCAGCAGCAGCAGATCCAAGCCATGGATGAGATGGACATCTTGCAGTACATTCGGGACCATGACACACCTTCCCAGACCTCTCCCAGCCTCTTCTGACCCCACTCCATGCTGCCTGGCCCTGCACACCCTCTGTGGAGGCGTATGTGTGTGGAGCCAGGACACCCTTGGGACAGGTGCAGGCCTGGGCCCCAGGACCACATCATTCTTTTTTCTCCTGGGCTGTGGGCTTGATGTGGAATCCCTGCAGAATACAGGCTGGAAGTGACTCTGGGTATTGAAGCCCACAGTGTCAGTCTAGCTGGGTGTGGAGGGGAGACTAAACATGGAGCTGCTTGGCTCACCAAGGACAAGGTGAGAGGTGAGGGGACCCCGGGAGGTGTTCCATGGGACAGGGAAACCTCCTACCCACCTGTGCCCACTGGCTCTGCCAGCCCAGCCTCAAAAGGAAGACCTGGCCTGACTGGGCCCAGGCTGAGATGAGGGAGCACCCATGCCAGGCCACCCAAGAGTCTCTGCTTAGCATGCCAGGGCCTGGAGAGGGACACTGAGCAGAAGAGCCCTGCTGTCCAGAGTGCCCTGATGAGTCTCTCATGAGCCTCCTAGTTACCAGCCCTAAGGGGAGCAGCTGGGCCCAGTCTGCTTCTCTGGGATATAGAAGACTCTGGATCCCAAGTTTTCCTTCTACTTCCTTTCCCAGGAAGGGTCTAGCCAGCAGTGACCTCCTTGGGCCTCTGGGCACAGAGCCAACACCCCCTAGACCTCTGCATGATCTTGGGACTTGAGTTGGCTTTCTTCCCAGTGCCGTCTCCTGCTCTCCAAGGAACATGATGCTCTCAGGCTTCTGCTCCAAGGCCTTGCCTATCCTCAGGATCTGGACTTGTTCAGTGGCCTTTCACCAGTAGAATCAACAACCTAGGGAGGAGCCTTGTTCCAGGGCAGGCCAGTGCCTCAGAGTTCTCTCAGCCCCACAGAACCCACAGGGGGGCACACAGTGCTGGGTAAGATGCAGCACCCAGGAGACTCAGCGAATGTTGCTTCATGGAGCAAATAATATTAGATTGTCTTTCTTGGATGTATATTCTCCATATTCAGAGCTAGTTTTTAATGAAACAAAATAGTTTTTAACAAAATGCAACCACTGTTGTTTCTTGGTGCTGTCCTGCCTGGCAGAGGCATTGGAAGGGGTCAGGACTAGGCCTGTGACCCTTTCCTGATCAGGCCCAAGAGCCAGCCCAGGGGAGGCCCCAGGTGACGTGAGCCAGTTGTTTGCCACTGTGTGACCAGTATCCACAGCTCCTGCCCTGTGCAGGAACCACAGGGCTGGGTTGGGAGCCCTGGGCCTGGTCTGTCATATGTCTTACCACAGCTCTCATCAGCTGCCTGCCCTTGAGCAGATCAACACCCAGTGAGAAGATGTAGGTGGTACTGGGCAGAGTTCTGCCTTGCCTGGTCAGAGGGGCGTCTCTCCTCAGGGACTAGGAGCTGGCTGTAGAACAGCTTCCACCCTGGCTCATCTTTCCCTTTCTCCATCTGGCATTCAAACCCTCCACCCTTCACCTGTTCGTGCCCAGCCCTGCACCCCACAGTCTCTGCTGGCTGTGAAGGAAGGCCTCTGAGGACCTGAGACCATGTAGCCAGGTCTTCCTCTGAGAGTCTGCCCAGCCAGGACTGGCCCCAGCCCTCCTTTGGGCTCTTCGCCACCCCTGCCCTCTCCTCGGCATCCTGGCTATCAACTCCTTATCCTTCCCCACGTCCCCGCCCCCCTTTTCTGGATGACTAGTAGTGTAGGAGCAAAGGATGTAGCTGGCAAAGTGGTCATTGGACCAGTCCACTGGCTTGGGCCTCTGACAAAATCTGGCCAGACACTTTAGTGTGGGTTTGCCCACTGCACGCCCTGCCTCCTCAGTGGCCTGGAATTTTCTAGATGCTTCTACAGAGGTCTGTGTCCCTGAGACATGGCTGTTCCAGCTGTGGCTTGTTCTCACCATACATCTAAGACCTAAAGCCAGTGGGTGACATCCAGTCATCCAGTAAAGTCTGTGTGCGTGCCTCATTCTGGAATGTGCCAGTGATGTCCCTTTCCATCCCTGGACTGATAGGAGGTGGCAGGGGGTGTCAGGGTGCAGGAGATGCATGTAGGGGGTTACTCATAGCAAGAGACAACCAGACGAGCTTCCCTCGCGGGACCCCACATCTTCTGTTGCTCTGCCTCATCCTCCCAGCTGCCTCTTATTAAGGTAGGGCAAAAGGAAGAGGAAGATTCTGGTTCTTTCCCATTGTGTAAACTGAGGCAAAGGACCCAGAGGCGCAAGCCCAGTGAGGACAATAGGCCAGTAACTGATCATCCAAGACCTGTGTAGAAAGAGGAGCCCGCCCTTCTCCAGGCCCCACCTCCCACCCCCACACTGCAGAGCCCTAAGCTGGGACCACCTAATGTCACACAGCCCTCCTGGCCTCTGCCCACACCCATCCTGGCCTCTGCTCTCCTGCTAGAGCTCAGGTTCTAGGCTGCTGCTTCATCCCTGAGCCCCAGAGGTTCAACAGCAGACGCTCCAGGGTGACACCCACTGGACACCTGGGAACAGGTTCCCGGGGAGCCAGGGACTCCACACACAGGACAGTCTGTGGGCTGACATCGCTACCTCCCTCCCCCACACCTTGAGCTTGGCTCTTGCAGCCGAGATTGAGTTGGGAGTCTGGGTTCCCACAGACCGTCAGGCCGTTCTGAGGAGGACTGCTCAGCCCCAGAGCATGCAGCTGAACTCACTGTGGAAGAGAGACTGAGAGGCTGAACTGGGGACAGTGTCATTTGTTTACTTGGAAGGCCATTGCAAGCCCGTGTACAGGATGTGCCATCTGTGGCTGGGCCTGCTGCTCCCTTTCCCCTGCATTGTTTCTCTCAGGAAGCCATGAGTTCAGGCCAGTTCTGGAAAGTCCCAGTCTTCAGGCTGGACCTAGCCAGGCCAGTGTCCTGGGCTCTGCTGGAGATGCCCACCCATTAAGCTCCAGTCTCATGACCATGTCTATTTGATGTGACCAGACCTCAGCTCACCCATTGTACCCCGAGGGCTGTCCTACCGCTGGAGCCCTCATGCCAGGTGAGGCAAGATAGCCAAGTCACTCTTGGGCACCCTGTTCCTCCATGCCCAGCTCACACCTGAGTTTTATAGATTTAACTGGCATGGAAGGTCATGGTCAGTTCTCTAGCTCACCAGCTACCCAGCCGAGCACATCCTGAGAAAGGGCCACAGAGCTACCAATATGTCCCTGAATAGGGCTTTGGCTGGACAGCAGGCACTTTCCCTTGCTGTGTGTGTGTGTGTGTGTGTAGACTGCTGGCCACCCAGAGCAGGCACAGTTAAGGCACAGACCCCTTTAAGT